AACATAGCTGACTCTATCTTGCTTCTAAGCTCACAAGCTAACTGTCCTTGCTCATTTCGGGGCATAGGCCAAGCTAACTATGGGAATAATTCAGTTTACAGTTTAAGTTTAAAACAAAGGTGATAACAGTCTTTTACCAAGACTAACCCTTTTGGCTGGGTGTAGTGTCTCACACCTGTAATCCCAGCACTTTGGGAGGCTGAGGTGGGAGGTTCTCTTGAGCCCAGGAATTTGAGACCAGCCTGGGCAACATGGCAAGACCCTGTCTCTACCTGAAAATAATAATAATAATAATAATAATAACAATAATAAAAAAGAAAGTAACCCCCTCCTTGCTTGGAGACCAAAATTGCCTTTGTAAAACTAAAATTAGCCACAAGGTTAGAATTATGGTAGAGGCCTGAATTCTGTTAGGATGTAGGCATAGTTAAATTCCAACCAGACATTGTTTCCTCTGCTAAGATGTATGTACAGTTTTACTTTAACAAGGCATTGTTTCATAATTTGTCTTTTCATAACTGCTTACTGCTCAGGAGTCATGTAGCTGGAGGTCACAAGATTTGTAACTTCCCTAATTATTCCTATAGATAACATCACTAAGGTAAAACCTACGATTGGTGTTTGAGGCATTTTTCAGACCTTACACTGTGATGGACCAACTGGTGCCACCCAGATCGATAACCCATACCAATAAACTGACTCAACTGGTTTTGTGACTCCCACCCAGGAACTGACTTAGCACAAGAAGATAGGTTTTACACTCCTATAATTTCATCCACAACCCAACAATTCAGCATTCCCCATTCCCTAGCCCCCTCCTGCCAAACAATCCTTGAAAAACCCTAGCCCACAAATTCTTAGAGCAAACTTGAAAATTATCTGCCATTCTTTTGTTTGGTTGCCTTGTGATAATTAAACTCTTTCTCTGCTGCAACACCACTGTCTCAGCATATTGGCTTTACCTGTGCAGTGGGCAAGAAGAACCCATTAGGCTTTAACAGACTCAGTTTTTCTCATTTAATTTTTGCTCTGGGGTGACTTTAGTTTTGGCTTCTATATGGCCAATAAATTATTTCCCATTGGGAATTTGGTTTTATTGTCAGATTATTTGGTGATCTCTGTAAACAAATTAAAAGTTTATGGAGATCTTGTCTCTGTTGGGTGAGAGGTGACAGAACATCTGGTTTGTTAGTCTTTTCTGTTTGTCTACTCTTATTTCAAATCAATAATTTATACCCACTGGGAAGAAAACAGCACTTTGACATGAACTGGTAAGTTTTAAGCCAGTTTTCAATTTTAAAATTTCAGCCATGGTCACTAGCAGACAGGACAGATCTGCAAACCTATGAATAACAGTCTACAAAGAGCAGCAAAACAACTCAATGACAATGAACAAGGCTAGAATCCAATAGTAACCCAGAAGGGCATGCTAGAGACAAGGCATAGTTTTCCACTGAAACACAAAATGTTTTCTATAATACTGTAGGGGCAAAGGGAATCCTTCTTTGCCCTTAAAAGATCTGCTTAAAAATGAACTGACAAAAGGCAGATTGATGGGAGAAAAGGCCTACAAATTTATTAATGTTCACATGGAGGAGAACCACAGAGTAATTACCCCATATTTCCAGTGGAACCCAAATACTTATATAGCCTTATTTTAGAGGAGAGAGGGAAGATGGGGAATATAGGAAATTCTGTTGAGGGATGATAACTGATTACTAGGGAGAATGAGTGATCTAGGAGGAGAGATTAACTTGAGAGACAGGCATTATCTTATGAAAAAATGTGTTCAGGTGTGGTTACATTCTTGGTCTTCTTTTGGCAATAAAGAAATAATGGGGAGAGAAAGAAAAAAACATTGTTCTCCTTAGTGAGTCCCTCTGATCTTCACGTAGATAGGAGAAAAGTCTCTTCCAGAGTCTGTTGATTTCGAAGGCCCTTTAATCCAAAATACTCATCATACCAGGGTGCCATATTTTGGGATAAAGTTCCCTGTGCTCCTGCAATATTTATATTTTTTATTGTAATTAATGTATTGAGAAAAAGAAAAATAGTTCAGAGCAGTCTAAGCTATGTCAGGAATGCACAATTTATCAGGCCCAGAGAGAAGAATGGAAGTTCAGTCATTCCAATCCCTACTCCCAAACCCATGCCTGAGGGCATTTGTTTCAAGTCATTTTGTTCCTGACTAGCTGCCTTACCCATTATCTTTACCTTTCTGCTCCTGGAATTTGTAATACCAGGACAATGTAAAGCCAATCAATAGCTTATGTTATTTTAAAGTAAATTCTTGTTAAATAATTTAGGAGGTTTTATTTCTTAAAAACCCCTTGTGGGGTTGGGAATGGTGGCTCACACCTGTAATCCCAGCACATTGGGAGACTGAGGCAGGCAGATCACCTGAGGTCAGGTGTTTGAGGCCAACCTGGCCAACATGGTGAAATCCTGTTTCTACTAAAAATACAAAAAAAAAAAAAATTAGCCGGGCATGGCGGTGGGCGCCTGTAATCTCAGCTGCTTGGGAGGCTGAAGCAGAAGAATCACTGGAACCCGGGAGACGGAGACTGCAGTGAGCTGAGATTGTGCCACCGCACTCCAGTCTGGGCAACAAGAGTGAAACTCCGTCTTAAAAAATAAACAACTATGGGTATAGAACGTCAGTCATGCTCCTACACCTATGCCTGGGGGCAAGTGTTTAAAGTCATTTTGTTCCTGACTAGCTATAATATGCATATGTAAGAATAAAATGGAGCACGATATTAGACACATTGTATATGCACAGAAAGGATCAGTTCCTTAGCTATCTTAGGAGGCAGAGTTAGATCAGTGGCTTAAATTTTTTTTTTAACTTCACTGTGCCTAAGAACAACCCTGGAAGTTATTTTTAAAATGGAGATTCCAGGGCCCCATCTCTTAAATCTGCAAATCCGTGAGTTTGGAGTAGAAAGGCACCAAGGACAACTTTTAATGAAGATGGTCCCTGGACCCAGGTGATGGGGCACCAGGTTGTAATGGATGTGGAGGTAGGAGTTCTCTGCTCTAGTTTGCCTTTCTAAAAGATTTAACAGGCCAGGCGCGTTGGCTCTGTAATCCCAGCACTTTGGGAGGCCGAGGCAGGCGGATCATGATGTCAGGAGATGGAGACCATCCTGGCTAATTCATCCATGGTGAAACCCTGTCTCTACTAAATAATACAAAAAAAATTAGCCGGGCGTGAGGGCAGGCGCCTGTAGTCCCAGCTACTCGGGAGGCTGAGGCAGGAGAATGGCGTGAACCCAGGAGGTGGAGGTTGCAGTGAGCCGAGTTCACGCCACTGCACTCCAGCCTGGGCGACAGAGTGAGACTCCATCTCAAAAAAAAAAAAAAAAAAAAAAATTAACATATGGTTTAAGGCATGATATTAATATTTTCCTTTCTATATCTTCTTAAGGCACCTGTAAAATGTGGATAATAACTAATTCTTCCTTATCATAAAATACCAAATGAGAATTCAGAGAGCAAATCTATTGCTTTTGTCCCAGGTGAAACTTTTGTAAGTTGTGACCAAGAAAAAGAGAGTCAGAGCTCAAAAAGGAGTAAAACCAGGAGAAAATGTTTGGTAAAAGGGATAAATTATGTTTGAGATGAGAAAGGTATGAGCAAACACATTGAAAAGGACTGGAGACAAGCAAAACAAAGATGCAGCAGAAATATGGGGCAGAAAAGCAACCAAATATTATACTAAGTGTCTTGTGTTTACTTTGGGAATCAGGGAATGAACATTTACACACAGAGAAAAGGAATCAAAATGAAAAGCAGCAAAAGGTACAGGGACACAATGAATGAATAAATAGGAGAGGAAAACTGAATGTCAAATGCAGGAAAAGAACGGTAAAGGGGTTCTGGAATTTACATCATGCCTAATTATTCCCTTAAGATCGATGACAAAAGAAAATTCTGCTAAAGGAAAAACACTAAACAATTTCTGAAGGGAAGAGCACAGAACCCAGAACCTAAAGGGCAATTCACAGTTGGGAAATTTTTCTTTTAAGTCAGCAAATGCCCACATAAGGATTTGGTTGAAGGGAATTTGATTATAAAGTCACTAGGGATGACTTAAGGCTTTTTCATGGACTCAGATGCCAGGATGAAAGACTGACTTTCAGGAATAGACCAATTTTAAGCAAATTAAAAAAAAAAAATTTGTGAGAGAAGAATATCTTCTGGCTATGAATGCTATTAAGACAGGATATGGGGTTTTTTAATGAATGTGTTATTTACTATATGCTGATAGAGATTACATAAATGCTAAAAATCCTGAAAAACAATTGAATGTGGAAAAATTATAGAAGTATGAAACATCTATAGAAAGTTAATTTATCAGTTTGTGCCTGTCCTCTCTATATTTCCCCGTTTTTACCCGCCCCCCCCCCGCCCCCCGCATTTCAAGCAGGAAGCCATGCTGTGTATTCCCTTTGTCAGGAGAGTTGTGTAGCTGTTTAGTTTAGTTTAAAAGCAAAAGTCAGTTATATTCAACAAGCTCTTTCTATCTTTTGTAAAAACCAAAATTCATCTAAGATATTGAAGAAGGAAATTTTCCCTAATCCCCTCACAGGCAGGAACTGCAGTATGGGCTCTGGAGCTAGCCAGCCACTTTGGTGTTCGCAGGGGCAAACTCCACTAACTTGAACTGCCAGGGGTTGTGCTCAACCCTTCGAAGGAGGGAGCACACAGGTGAGTGGGTGCAGGAGCCGGGGTGAGTGTTTTTGAGCACCAGCAGGAGCAAAACTCCATGTGGTTCCCGAAGCAGCATCCAGGCAGGGAGTACTGGCAACCCCTGAAGCCCCAGGAGTGTTACAGTCAGCTCTCTGTTACCTCTGCCATCTGCAGATGGCTTAAGTGTTAACAGCTCAGTGGCCTTCTGCCTTTTTGCATGAGGCAGCTGCTTTCTGCCAGTGAGGGCACAGGGTCAGTGTGACAGCCTTTTGCATCTGCACCCATGGTACCTGAGCTCATGTTCAGCCATCTGGAAAAAATCAGGTTGCATGAATGAATTGAAGGGTGGTGAATGCAGAGGATTTTATTGCCTGTGTAAGTGGCTCTCAGTGGGAAGGGGACCTGGAAAGGGGAAGGAGCAGGAAGGTGATCTTCTCTTCTCTGAAGCCATGCTGTCAAGTTGTCCCTCTGAAGTCAAGCTGCTTTTCTCCAATGTCAAACTGCAGTCTCTGATTTCCAGCTGCTTCTCCTCTTCTCTGCTCTCTGCTGGTGGAGACTGGGGTTTTTATGGGCACAGGATTGGGGTGGGGCAGGCCATGGGTGGTTTTGGAAAAGGCAACATTTGAGCAGGAAAACAGGAATGCATGTTCACACTTTGGGCCAGGTTCTAGGCTTGAGAGTGGGGCCCTCACCAGGTACCCACCCTCTTCTGCTAAGAATTTCCCTGCCTCCTGTCCCTATCAATATTATGGTAGGTGCCTCCAATGGGGAGGGGGAAAAGACAGCCAGAAAGAAAGGTATCAGCTATGCCAGTGGAGTTTTAAAATGTTCTAAAGGGCTTTCAAAGATGAAAAGGTACTACAGTACTTAACAATTGTGGTGCTTTTAATAATATCCAATATATTCAAGTTGCAAATGTAAAACTAGTTTTTCTTAAACCATTAAACACTACTTTGAAATCTAATGATTTTATTTTATTTTATTTTATTGTGGATTAAAAAAAAATAAAATAGTTCATACTGTAACCAGCAAAGGGGGTCTGGTTGCTCACTGCTTGTAGAAAGAAGCCAAAATAACAAGAGTGAGGCGTGATAAAAAGAGGGTGAATTTTTTTATCCATGCTAACAAGGAAAAGAGTGCCAGAATTCTTTCTAACAACTGGCACTGTCCAGTTTATGGAGGGAACACGGGGATTTTAAAGAGAGGGGTTTGGAATGCAGGATAGGAGGTGTCAAGTGGTGTGACCTGCTCTGATGGCTTGTCTGGAATTATTGTTCCATCTGGTGAAGGGGCTAGCATCACTGTGGGCCCAATCAGGTTACAAATTAATCTCAGTGGATCTTGCACTCAGTCTTCAACAGGGAGTGAGTTCTGGCCTTGAAGTAATCTTTTGCTTGGGATAGAATTCTGGAGGTGTCTGATTCATGTCAGGATCCGGCCCCTGAAGCTACTAAAGAAAGATATGACCAGATAAGTGAGCATGGTGTGTGTTAACAAGCATTTGAAATAAATATCATAAGGCATGGGAGCATAAAGTGGGAAAGGGAAGGCAGTGGAGGTTCACGGCACATTCTGAGGCTATATTTCAAGAGGAAGAAATAAACAATTGTAGTTTGTCTTAAAGCTACATCATGAGACTGAGGAGAAAGGAAGAAAGAAAAAAAGTTTTAAAACGTGGTTTGAAGCTAAGCCACTTGGTTACAATACTACAGAAAAATATATGTGTATGTATGTGTGTATACACATATATATAAAATGACACATATAAAATTATATACATTTTTTTTTTTTTGAGACGGAGTTTCACTCATGTTGCCCAGGCTGGGGTGCAGTGGTATGATCATGGCTCACTGCAACCTCCGCCTCCTGGGTTCAAGTGATTCTCCTGCCTCAGCCTCCCGAGTAGCTGGGATTATAGGCGCCTGCCACCACACCTGGCTAATGTTTTGTATTTTTAGTAGAGATGGGGTTTCACCATGTTGGCCAGGCTGGTCTCAAACTCCGGACCTCAGGTGATCCACCTGCCTTGGCATCCCAAAGTGCTGGGATTACAGGCGTTAGCCACGGGCCCAGCCCTATAAAACTGTATACATATATGATTTAAAGAATAATACGGTTGCTGGATGTGGTGGCTCATGCTTGTAATTCCAACACCTTGAGAGCCCAAGGCAGGAGGATTGCTTGAGTCCAGGAGTTCAACACCAACTTGAGAAAACAGAAAGAGCCTGTCCTTACAAAAAATAAACAAATGAGCTGGGTGTGGTGGCAAGGGCTTGTAGTCCCAGCTACCTGTGAGGCGGAGGTGGGAAGATCACATGAGCCTGGGAGGTCAAGGCTGCAGTGAGCTGTGATCGCACCACTGCACTCCAGCCTGGGTGACAGAGCGAGACCCTGTCTCAAAACAAAACAAAACAAAACAAAAAATAATAATAGTAAATATCCACGTAGCCACAATCCAGCTTAAAAAGGAACATTGTCTTTCAGATCCTTTGAGCCCCTCCTGATCCCCTTCTCTTCCTCTGCCACTCCTTCCAAAAATAACTACCTATTTTATTTTCATATTTGCAGTTCCTTTGCTTTCCATAATAGGTTTTCTTTTTTTGGTAGAGTGTGCTTAGATCTATCTATAATAGCTTTGTCCACAAATGTATGTGTGTATTCCTAAACCATATTGTTCAGTTGTCTGCTTTCAAACTTACTTGGTGTCATGTTTTACATTTGTTTGTAATTTGCTTTTTTTACTCAACATTGTATTTCCAAGACTCAACAAAGTTATTCCATCTGGTTATAGTTAACTTGTTTTTCACTGCCTTATAATATTCCATAACTTGAATAAATGATAATTTATATGACTACCCTCCTGTGAGTAGACATTTGGGTTATTTTCAGTTTTTGTTTTGTTTTGTCTTGCTATTGCAAACAAGGCTACTGTAAACATTCTTGCACATATCTCTTAGTGTATACATGTAGGAATCTTTTTAGGGTAAATATCTAGGAGCAGAATCACTGGGTTGTAAGGAATGCCAAATAGTGTTTCAAACAATTCTACTGCTTTACATTCCCTCAAGCAACATGGTCTTCATCTTCCCCAACTTTTTCATCATTAGCAATCTGCTGGAGGATAAAAATCCTTTCATTTATTCTGGATTAATGTTCAATTAATTCATAAGTTCAATATTAAAATTCCTTAAACAGTTAATCCTCCACTTACAAAAAAATTATCTTAACCATTGTAAACTATATTGACAAATTTAAGATTCATGTTTATCTGAGCCACTTCAAACAACTAACAGGGCAGACTTATAATTCAATAAGCAAAATCTAAGATTTATAACTATTATTAGTCTAACGAATGAAAATCATTTATTTGTTAAATCAGGGCTATCTTAAACATTCAAGCACTATTTAAACATTTAATTATCTTACATATTTCAAAATAAAATCTGAAGTCTAGCTTCAAATTAAAATCTGATGTCTAGCATCAAATTGTCTTAAAGTTTCCTAATTTAAACCACAAGCTAATATATCGCATCCTCTTTAACTTTTTAAATACTTAAAATAATAGGCCAGGGGTGTTTGCTCATGACTGTAATCTCAGCACTTTGGGAGGCCAAGGTGGGAGGACCACTTGAGGTTAGAAGTTTAAGATGGTCCTGGGCGACATAGTGAGACTCTGTCTCTATAAAAAATACAAAGATTAGCTGGGTGTATTGGTATATGCCTGTAATCCCAGCTACTTGGGAGGCTGAGGCAGGAGGGTCTTTTGAGCCTGGGAGGTCAAGGCTGCAATGAGCCATGATTATACTACTGCACTCCAGCCTGGGCAACAAAGCAAGAATCTGTCTCAAAAAAAGAAAAAAAATCCACAAATATAACAGCAGTAATTACAACATATATCACTAAACCTAACCATTATTATTATGAATCTGATTTACTTCATCATTGTAAATTGACTTACCTATGGGGCATATACATACATATATATGTTTATGTATATGTTTCTGTGTGTGTGTGTGTGTGTGTACATATATATGAGCATGTGTAGGCTACAGATCCCAAACTGCTTTATAGATCACTGGTTAGATATGATACCTCAGTCAAAATTAGATGTTACTTCCAAGACCATTCCATCAAAGAAATACATGAAACCATGGAGTTCTTATTGGGACTTCAGCTTGTTCTATTTATTTTCAAAATTATCTATTGCTTTATAATAAACTCCCCCAAGACTTAGTGTCTTAAAAAAACCATCATTTTATACCTGATGTATTTTGAGTCAGAAATTCAAGCAGAAATCGAATAGGTGATTCTTTTGCTCCATAAGGCTTTAACTAGAAGGTAATTTGGTGGTATTCGGCTGGTGGCTGGGTTGTGCTGGGGAGTCCAAAACAGTGTAACTCATTTGTCTGGTGTCTTCATGTGGACAACAAGGAGGCTGGGCTTAGGTAGTTTCCTTTTCACATACTCTCTCCTGCAGAGTAGTTAAACTCACATGGCTGCTCAGGGATCCAAAAGGGAGCATTTCAGGAAGCCCAATAGAAGCCCTTCAGCTTTTTATGACAGTCTCAGAAATTCCAAAATCTTATTTCAGTGTATTCCATTGATGAAGCAAGTCACTGAATCCAGTCTAGATTAAAGGATTAAGGAATTAGACCCCATTTCTCCATGGGAGGAGTGTCAAAGAATTTGAAGCCATCCTTAATCCACTGCAACTGAGCTCTGCTTGCTATGTCAACTGCTGAGACTATACTCAAGCTGATCCTCTAGAATTTAGTTTCTCAGGAAATGTGTTGCCAACATATTTCAAATTTCACATTTTCTAAAGTTTTACAGTAAATGTTTTTAAAACTTAATTACCTGATTTGGCAAAATAGGAGTCTGTACTTCCCACCAGCTTGCAGCTCATCTCTTAGCAAATTATTAGAGTTAATTATATGCTCCACCACTCTCTCCAATCTGGCCTAGAACACAATTTAAATTTTTCTTTTCATCTGCTTCTCCAGGCACAGTTATAACCATTATATTACATCTTTTATTGGGAAAGGTCAGAAGTTGTCAGATCCCAGAATGTTAGCACCAGAGATGTGGTAAGACAAAAGAGGATACGTAGGGAAGCTGGACTAGAGGCACAGGAACCACCAACTAGCAACATATTTCTATTCCCCAAGCAGGCAGGCAGCAGAGTTATTGGATCTAAAGGACTGGTCAAGGGTTGGTAGCAATGGTTGTTTCAGTAGTAAGCAGTATGAACTGATAATTTATATCTGGATGTCCAAAGGGGGCTCCACAATACATGTGGCTTTTGGACAACGCTGGGAGTCACAATAATGACTGAGAATGGATTACCCTCCACCCTCATTAACTTGAGATTTAGAATTAATTTTAAATTTCCTTTAAAAAAATAACATGGTATTTTTTGCACACCTGAGCTTGTGGAAAAAATTCATGCTGGTCTCAGCTGGAGCCTTAATACTCTGTCAATTCTCTTACTCAATACTCTGTCAATTATTTGGTGAAAATGCCCTATCTCACCCCACCTCTCACCCCAAGTAGCTATTACAAACTTCTACCATTCTCAAGGCCCCTACTCTCAATTGATAGCCCTGTTTCCTTCTTAGCAGGAAACTCAATATCTTGTCTATCTGATGTGGTTTGCTGTGTCCCCACCCAAATCTCATCTTGAGTTGTAGCTCCCATAATTCCCACATTCTGTTGGAGGCACCCTGTGGGAGGTAGTTGAATCATGGAGGTGGGTCTTTCCCATGCTGTTCTTGTGATAGTTCGCATGAGATATGATGTTTTTATAAAGGAGAGTTCCCCTACACAGGCTCTCTTGCCTGCTGCCACGTAAGATGTGACTTTGCTTCTCATTCACCTTCAGCCATGATTATGAGTCATCCCCAGCCACGTGGAACTGTGAGTCAATTAAACCTCTTTCTTTTATAAATTACCCGGTCTTGGGTATGTCTTTATTGGCAGTGTGAGAACAGACAAATACACCGTCTGTTCCCTAAATTTACCTATGCCCATGTGCATTCTTCCCTAATTAGTACATGCCTTCTTCTTTGAGTTTTACATCAATATAATCAAGCTAAACCCCACAAGAGGCTGAGACAAGAATATAGTAGTGGGAAGAGGATAACCTACCTTAAATAGAAAAGTCAGGAAAGACTTTAGACAGGTACAAATTGAGACCTGAAAAAATAAGGACCTAGCCAAAAAACCAAGAGTGAACCAAGCAGAGAAAGGCAAAAGCCCTAAAGCTGCAGAGGTGGTTTGTTCTAGGCAATCAAAGACGAGTATGGCTGAAACACCATGGGTAAAATGGAAAATGGAAAGAGGTGACATTGAAAATATGGATAATACATAGGTCATACAATGTTTAGGTCATGGTAAGAAGTGTGGATTGTATTTTAAGTACATATCACAAGATTTATGGGTTAAGTAATCAGAATTTGGGAGGATGCTGGATTGGTTGACTGAGACAAGGAAGTTTGAAGGTAGTAGGGACAGGTTTAAGGGAAAACAAAGATATCCATTTTAGACATATTGAGTGTCTGTGAGACACCCAAGTGGATATGTCAGTTAAAATTTAAATCTTACATTAGGAATAGTGTTCAAAGTCAGCATGTAAATTAAATGCTTGCATGATACAACTCTACCTAAATAATAGAATATGTGAAAAGAAAAGTTCTGGGCTGGGCATGGTGACTCACGCCTGTAATCCCAGTGCTTTGGGCTTAGGCGGGAGGATCACTTGAGGCCAGGAGTTCAAGACCAGCCTGGGCAACATCCATAGCAACACACTGTCTTTATTTTTAAAAAAATACAAAAATTAGCTGGGCATGAGCCTGGAGTCCTCACTACTCAGGAGGCTAAGGTGGGAGGATCACTTAAGCCCAGGAGTTTTAGGCTGCAGTGAGCTATGATCATGCCACTGCATTCAGCCTGGAATACAGAGTAAGACTCTGTCTCAAAAAAAAGAAAAAAAAAAGATATTCTGAGCTGGAGATATAAATTTTGGACTTATCAGTCTATAGATGGGAGTTAAAAGCACCGCCGATAAAGCTGGGCACAGTGGCTCACACCTGTAATCTCAGCACTTTGGGCAGCTGAGGCGGGCAGATGGCTTGAATCCAGGAGTTTGAGACTAGCCTGGGCAACATGATGAAACCCCGTCTCTACAAAAAATACAAAAAGTAGCCAGGCGTGGTGGTGCATGCTTGTGGTCCCAGCTACTTGGGAGGCTAAGGCAGGACAATACCTGAGACCCGGGAGGTGGAGGTTGCTGTGAGCTATGATCGTGACATTGCATTCCAGCCTGGGCAACACAGATCCTGTCTGAAAAAAACAAACAAACAAAAAACACTGGAAATTAATAAGATTACTTATGAAGAAAATGTATAAAAAATGTATGAAGAAGAATGAGCCTAGAACTGAACTGTAATTTACTTCAGTATTTAGAGAAAAGGTAAAGAAAGATAAACAGACTGAGAAGGAACAGCTAGTGAAGTAGTTGAGAAACCCAGAGACTATGGTTTCCACGATTTCTCTGAAGATAGCCAAGAAAAGTGTTCAAGGAAAAGTCTTTAAGGATTTTAAAAGGTGCTAAGAAGCTGGGCTAAATGAAGACAGAGACGTATCTTTTACATCTAACAGCATGTACATCGTTGATGACTCTCATAAGAGAAGTGCCAGTGAAGTGATGAGTATAGTAACCAGTCAGGACTGAGTTGAAGAATTGATAAGAAGTGATAAATAAAGCTAATTTTCCAGAAGTTTTACTGTGAAAAGGTTCAGAGAAATGGTGGTAGCTAGAGGATAATAAATAGTGAAAGGCTTTAAAAAGCATTCTTTTAAAATGTGGATGGGAAAGAGTGGTGATACAGGACAGGGAAGGCGTAACTGAAAAGATGAAGGGCTTGAAGAAAGTAGAAGTAGGATCCAGAACACAAACAGTGGGAGAAGGAACATATCCTTCATCTGTTAGGGAAGGAAAGAAAAGATGGCATACATAATGAAGTCTACAAATTTTGATAGTGGGAAGATGAGAGTGCTCCTGTCTGATGAATTCCCTCAAATTAAATATAAAATATTGTCATCAGGTGAGTGGGAAGGAAGGTATAAAATAATTGACTCAAAGTGGAAAACTGCACTTACTTGGTAAATAAAATAATATTTCCAGGTCATGTTGAGTGTCTCAATTGAAGTTTATAATTACGAATTTAATGTGAAACCTCTCCTACAGTGCACACAGAAAAACCTCTCCTCTTATGCACACAGAAAATGTATATATAGTAATTTCAGTTGTAGCACTTTGTATTATCAAATGACAGAAAACCAAATGTTCATCAACAGCAACATTATCTCAATAAATGATACATTTTTTGGGGTACTACTACATATTGAAATACTATGTATCTATTAAAAGAAATAAGTAAATTTGTGATGATAGGGAAAGAATTCTAAGATATATAATTGAGCGAAAAGAACAAAGTGCAGAATAATTCATACCATACTGCTCATGTTTACATTAACAATATAGAGGAGAGAGAAGGGAAATATAAATTTGAGGTCTTTGAGGAAACCAAATAAACCAAAATCTTCCCTGCTAGAGTTCTGAACAACTGAGAAAGGAGACAAAGAAATAAGATAGAAGAAGCCAAATTATCACCTTTATTAAGCAGATACATTAATGAATATACTTTACACATGTGGGCAAATGAGTTTCCTACTACCAAACCACAGAATTAGCGCATTCACCCACCCACAGTGCAGCACTGCACCAGGGCAGGCCTCTTCCCATCTTGGCACAAGGTCAGAGGATTACAGAGAAATGTATGGGTGTATTACCTACCTGCAAAGAGTAGGTAAAAAGAAGGAATTGAGTTGAGCATGCCCAGTATATTCTTCCCAAATTTTCCAGTCACACAAGTTTCTCTACCTCTCTAAGCAGAATGAATAAAGAAGTAAAGCTAGGTATTAGCAAAAGAGTCATAATAATCACCCACAGAAATTAAGCTAGTCAAATAGGAAGGTAGAATAAAGAAGGGGTTGATTGATAACAAAAGTCAGTGGGTTAAGGTATTGAGAGTCTGCATTAAATCAACAAATTGTGGCTATACGAGTTCTACAGAAAAAAAAGCACAAAAGATAAAAGGATATTAGTCAAAAAGTCAAACATTTCAGCCAAGATTTCAGAGATAGTGCAGACTTCAGTTCTGATAAATTTGGGAAATGGCTATGGGAGTGTGCCCAGAGTAAAATGCAAGAAAAGGTGTGGAGGTGAGATCAAGGAACTAAGAAAGCAGGTATAGAATGGGTTATCTGCAAGGAAAAAAATTTAAGCAGCAGGAGCAGAAGGAGGTGAAACGTGAACTGTGAACCAAAAGCTAAAGTCTTCAGTGGATGAAAGGGGAGGGAGGACATTAAATATTAGCAATAAGCGGGGAAGAAGAGGGAATGAATTTTGAGGAAAGAGATAACCTATAGGAAGCTGGCAGTAAAATGGTTTGAAAGCAACAATAGGACACAAAGACATCTATTCCAACTCTTAGCCCTAAGTTACTCAGGGGAGAGAAAAAAGAGGTGAAACAAACCCCTCTGAGCTAAAGGAGCATGTCTAACCCAAAGCAAGGAAGCCAAGAACCTTGAAAAAAGGTTAGGGGAATTGCTAACGAGAACAACCAGTTTAGAGAAGAACATAAATGACCTGGTGGAGCTGAAAAACACAGGATGAGAACTTCGGGAAGCATACACAATATTGATAGCCAAATCGATCAAGTGGAAGAAAGGATATCAGAGATTGAAGATCAACTTAATGAAATGAAGCGTGAAGACAGGATCAGAGAAAAAGGAATGAAAAGGAACAAACAAAGCCTCTGAGAAATATGGGACTATGTGAAAAGACCAAACCTACATTTGATTGGTGTACCTGAAAGTGAGGGGGAAGAATGGAACC